CCCCCCCCTCCCTTGGAACTTAGTGGCGTTCCATTGGTCATCCTGACGTATGCATGCTCGAACGCTATCTTCAGCGACTGTCTCACTTGCAATTAATTTGCACATAATTGGCAGCCTAGAAATTACATACTTTAATTACCACAGATGCATTCAATTTATTGATTGAATTTTCTTTTGACAAAAGCAATTATTGAAAATTAAATAAATTTTATTTGTGTTTTTATAAAAAATTTCACTTATACTATTTTAATGAGTTTCAATATTATAACAATGAAAAATAATGTGAAAGCTACTTTGAGTGATTAATTAAAAAAAAGGTTACTTTCGAAAAATAAAGTGTGAAAATGAATAAATACATTTAATAAATATACCAATTATTTGACTAAAAAAAATTGGCAAATAATATTATTTTGAAAATTCATCGCTAAGTTCCAATTGCATACTAATATTATAATGAAAACAAGATTTAACGAAAAAATGTAAAGTATCTAGAACTTTATATTGCGTTTACTTTATTAATATATAATTTATTATTGTCAAGATTTTGTCACGTAAAATGTGAAAAAAATAGACAGTATAAATTTTTTAGTGCAATATTTGAAGCCTTTTGCAGTTCAAAAAAGTCCGTTAGCAAACTAACAGTCCGTTATAAATACTTTTATGATTCTCATAGGGTTAAACATTTCTTTTATGGTTATTATTTTGTGAGATTGTTTTGGAAAAGTGAAAATAATATCAGAAATGAGCTTTGAATCAATCCAGCGTTGTTTTTCCAGTTGGACAAAATTTATACAGAAATGTCTATGATTTGATGAAATATAGAAAAAACTCGAGAAATATCAAGTATGATTTTGATGATCATTAATGACAAAATTGCAGTCGTTACTAATTAGTGAGCGCATGAAACGGAATGGCATCGTAAGGAGTAAGTTTTGAATCATTTTTCATAATATTTTCAGTCGCTTCGTTTTGAATGGTTATAAATATCTCGGTTATCAGTTTAACATACATTGATTCGCAAACACAATGCGTAAATTTGTTTCGTTTACCGTAATTCAAACATTTTAACAGCATAAAAACCGTGTTTATAAAGTATTTGTTTCGATAATGATTGTGAATGGTTTGTGTCGAGATATTTCTGTAAATTTTTCAAAATAACTAATTTGATGTGGAATAATCTTTGATATTCTTAAGAACAATTGTTCTGCACAAAACTTTGAAATATTTTGACATTTTTAAGCATAGAGTTGCATTAAAAAAACTCATGTTTGTGTACTCGTTCATCACAAACTTATGAGAAAGGTTGTACAGACATATTTTAAATAAAAAATTTTAGTTCTTAATGAGTCGTTAAGTAATAATATTTTGAATTTTCAATATTTTTCAATTTAGCAAGCGATTGAACGAAACGAAATTTGATACAAGTTTAATGCTATTTTTTGATAATATATCTAAAGAATTTTATGCAAAATATGACTATTGAAATTAGTTGTTTTAACTAATTATACCTTTATTCTATAGAGATTGAAGTAATAAAAACTTGATACCCAAATCCTGGTCTGGTTAAAAATTAACAAAACTAAACATTATTGTTATTTTTTTTATTTAAGTTCAACTTCTTGATATGAAATATAATTCATTCATTCATATTTAACTGATCAAAGTAAGCTGAATTTAGGTATATTTATTAGGAGTAAAGGTTTTAAGTTACTTTTCTAAAATAAGATGTTTTAAGCCTGTCACAAGTTGAGTTTATCCATAGACAATACTTTAATACACTCATACTGAAAGACTGAATGTAAGAAACTTATTATAAAATAATTTGTCAAGCTTGTACTACTACTATTATTTATTTTTAAGTAACACATAATTGAAGAAATAAAAATTGAATCATATTATTTTTATGGATTCTAACAGCAAGTTTATTTTAAAATGGATGAGGATACGCCTGAAAATCTAAGAGAAGAACATGTAAGTAATTTTTGCTGCAAACTTTACATTTATGTTTGATAATAATGGGTTCAATGAGTGAAAATAGAGCATTTTTAATAAGTCAAAGACTATTTTAGATATCATTTGTTTAATATCTTGATACATTACTCATTCACAAAATCTCACAATTTACTCTTGGTCTGAGTATCAGCAGTTGATTGCTTTTTATAATATTGCTATTGACTAAGTTCTATGAAACAAAAAAACCTCTCTTTCATAAAGTCGAAACCAAGTTGTAATATTGTCATCAACTTTATAATTTCTGCAAGTGCCTATAATTAAATTATCAATTTCTTATGAACTCTTATTATTCTTACAAAAAGATGGTGATGTGATGCATTATTTAGTTTGTTATTTGGGTCTCTTGTTAAATTTTTGTCAAGAAAATCTAATTTATAGTCCTCTGACCTAAAAAGCTCAACTTTGTCTTCAGATTTAAGCTTTTGTGCCCCAATTACGTAACTTGCTATTTCAACAAAACTTGGGATATCATTTCCCTTCAGTTCGTGTTGAACCCCTTTTTGGCATATACTATTAACTGCACTTATATAATACTGAAAAATTTCAAAGAAATTATGTTTCTCACAGGTTTTCATGGCGATATACACTAATAAAAATTACATCGGTTTAGCATATTATCAATTTCAAGAATCAGTACTATACATAATAGATGATTTCCACAAAGTTGGTGACAAATTTGACGAAATTCAAAGTATTTTTGAAAATGTGAAACCATCAAAATTAATAACTCTGTCCAATCAATCAAGAAATATTTTTGATCCTAATGTACTATTAAAATCAGAAATTAAACGCTCTGAAAATGGTAACATTATGCCGTGTAAAATTGTCACATTAGTTGCAGGGAATTACAGTTACTACACGTGTTTGAATAAAGTTCGCAATTTAAAAGTGCTTGATACACCTAATAAACATTTTGAGAAATGTATAATATTACAAAGTTTTATTAATCCATCATCTTATTGTTCGATTTATGCGCTTGGAATTCTTCTTCTCTATATCGATCAGTATTATTTCTCCATGTATTCTCTTGAATCGAAACAATTTTACATAAAAGATATTCAATACATCACTTTGTAAGTAAAAAATATTAAATTTTTGAGTATTAAAATGTCTGAATCTTGTTGCTTGCTCGAAGAAAGCTTTGTAATTAAATATAAAAAGATTTTCTGAATTACGAAAATGTGCCAATTTTTTGTGAATATTCTATCGTTTATAGTATTGATATATTTACGCTAGCTAATATATGCCATTATATTATTTTTGCAGAAAAGATTACCTTTTTTTAGACAAAGATTCTTTTTCGTTTCTAAACATTTTACCTTTAAAAGTTATAAGTCACATGAAACAAGAATGGCACTCAGTTAATTTTCAGAATGATCGAAGTAATCACTCAGACGCAGAATACTTATTTTCATACATGAACCCAGAACCGCGCATTGGAACAATTGCATTAAGGTAACTGTAGTTTATCAAACTAGCAAAAAAGTATAACACATCCAGTAGACTTTTTCGTTTTAAGATTTTAGAATTTTTTTATTAACAATTTACTCGAATGACTTTCATCATTCATACACCAAAATCATAAGCTATTCCCAAATTTGAATCTACTGGATTGTACATTCCTAGTCAAAACTGGAACGTGCGCATTGCGATGGATTTCTCTTAGCATTTTACTGGAAGCACATTAATCATTGACGCACATGTGTCTCCCCACAATCATAAGCTATTCCAAAATTTGAATAGCTTCTACAGGATTATATATTCCTAGTCAAAACTGGTACGCACGCGTGGCGATGGGATTTTCCTGTACTAGGCGAGCGGGAGGTTACCCAAAAAACAGGGTTGACCGACCACGGAGAGGAGAGTGGCTAAACGACATGATTCCTTAAGTTAAATTACAATCCTTTACAAGCGTATTTTGACTGTCCTGTTCTCCGTTTTCTTTTTTCAGTGCGGTCTTGAGGTTTTTAGCGTTGCACGGTTCGCTACAATCAAAATTCGCTCGTAATTAGACTCAAAAAATAAAAGAAGACATGCTTTCGATAGGGAATTTTCTCAGCTTTCTCATGGTGCAGTTAGATTTTCCGATTAATTTCATTTTTACAAGGAAAAATCGAAAATAAGCCATAGAAAGCACTTTTTTCGTACTAAATTTTTCGACATATTTAGCCCTCAATGTTTGATGGCGATTTTCGCGGTGAAAATTGGATATTTCCGAAAATCAAATAGTACCATCGGAAAGCTGAGGAAATTTCCTATCGAATACAGTGGTCAGTTAAAATTTTTAGATGTTTTTTGATACTTTTTGAACGACTTGGAAATCGAGCAATAAGTCGTATTTGCGTGAAAAGATGACTTTTCGGCATCTAAAACACAAAAGTGACCCAAAAAAAATTAACTATTTTCAAATTTCATGTTCACGCCTTTTTTTTTCACTCCTGGAGGTCCTATGAACAATTTGCGGGGGTCCGGGCCGCTGGTCTCGCAAAAAAAAATTTCACTTTTTTTTGTTAACGAAACGGAATTTTATTTTGAGATTTTACCATATGTTCAATAAAAACGATTAAATGGATTTCATATATTAATTATTAAACTGTATGCACCATTACACGGGCCAACGCGCAACGCTAGCCGGCGAGGCGAGCGCGCGCTCGGTGCGCTAATATTAAAACTCTTGCCATTTCTTCCCTAATTGATATTTTGATCTCAAATTTTACCAAAAACTTCCTTACACTATATATTTTAGTGCTGTGAAGTTTATATTTCGAATTTCGAAATTTCGTCACTCAACTTTTTAATCCGAAGTTAAGAATTCGTGAATTCGCGTTTTTTATGTTCAAAAAATCATATCTTCGGTTCTAATAAACTTTTCGACACTTGCTTGACGCTATTTTCTTCCTTTTGAGCGCTAAAATATGCTGTTAAAATTTCATCAAAAAATATTTATTACAAAAAAAGTTACAGCGAGTTGAACTCGAAAAAATGAGAATTTCATTATACCGCGATTTTCATGAAAATCGCGTTTTTCTCCATGACGCTGTCATTTTAGAGTAAAATAAATTTCATATTCGGATTCAGCAACGAAAAATACGTAAGGAATCATGTCGTTTAGCCACTCTCCTCTCCGTGGTCGGTATGTCCCCTTTCTAAGCGACTTTTTGGCAACCTCCCGCTCGCCTATACTTAGTGGAAAGTACTATCGTCAAATCATAAGCCATTCTAAAATTTGAATAGTTTCTACTGCATTATGTATTCCTAGTCACAACTGGATCCATGAATCCCTACTCTACAAAACAGTTAGATTTCTACGTAGAAATTCGCATAAATAATAAGAGGACTACACTTAGATATCCTTTTATTTATTTTTTGGTAATTTTCAAATCCATGTACTTCTAGTTGTCGGGGTAGAATTTTTGGTGATGTGTTTATATTTGGAATTATCCACGAAAATCTCCGTCAAAATCTACAATTACATTGATTTGGAAATTATCAAAAATATCTGGATGGAAGTCCACGGGAAATTCAGCTGTTCATTTCAAAAGAAAATGCGATGCTTTTACAAACACAATAAAAAAAAAGTATCACTGCATTGCATGAGGTAATGAACATCAGCTCTGAAAACAGTGGCTTCTATAAAAAAAAAACCGTGAAACTTAACATCTACCCATGTCTTACAGTTTTTGTAACTGAAGTACTGGTTGTTCATTTGTGAAAAGTTTTGCAAAATATCAATAATTTTATCACAATCTCTTAATTTATAATTTGATGTATTTTTATTAAAAAATCGACTCAGATAGTTTAATTTTTCAGAAAAATGTTCCTTCATCCAACTACCGATACAGATGTATTAGAAAACCGATTCGATTTTATAACGTTTTGTATGGAGCCATCAAACCAAATATTCATAGAAAAATTAAAAAATTCTTTAGCTGGAATTGTCGATTCAGCTGTAATTGCTAATAATAACCATAGTTTAGGCAAAAGAATGAAGACTTATCGTAATTTACATAAGGTTAGTTGTACGTTCGTTAATTAAGTTAACATAAGGTTAGTTGTACGTTCGGTAGTTTAAGTTGACACTAAATATAGGTAATTTCCATAATAAACTCGATATCGAAAAAATGCAGCTATATATTTTTTTTACGATTCGTATAATCGATTGATTAATTTTTATGTGGATTACTAACAATGTAATTTCATTTACTAAGAAAATTTACATATTTTCAAGCACTTTTTTTGTACAACTTATTTAGATACTTCAAAACATAGCTAATATTAAAATAGTCTTAGAAGCACAAACCAACCGACCAGACTTGTTGACTAGATTCATGAATAATATATCGAGTGAAATACAATTTTTGTTATATTTTCTTGAAAATATTTTTGATCTTCAGTCACCATCTAGTTCCGATATTATATCAGTGAAACATGGCGTGGATCCAACTTTAGATAAATGTAAGTATTACAATTATAGTGGTAACAATTTTTCCGGAATTTCTGAATAAAGAATAATATCAAGATAAACAAAGAAACAGGTCAAGTACTCTTGATCTTAGTAATTACATTAACTCTTGATTCCGTTTCTCTGTATTGTTTACTGCTGGTAAATAATTGAGCTTGATAGATTGTGCTGCGGAACGTTGACCGTAATGTTACATAATCTTTTTAAGCATATAATTTTTACAATAATGATTGCTTTTTTTCAAGAAAATCCAAATATTGTTGTTATTTATTTACAGTAAGAACAATTTGCTACAATTTACCTCAGACTTTATCGACGATATCTTTGCATTATTTATTAACTTTGCCTAAAGAAATTGAAAATTGTCATGTTGTCTACATACCTGAAATGGGTTTTCTGATAGCAGTTTTAAATGCACATCAATTATCAGAAAATTCAAAAGAGCTACCTAAAATGACTTACCATTTTTCACTTAATGGCATCAGTTATTACAAGAATTTATTAACCGAAGGTACATTTTTCTACTAAATATTTTATAAAATAGTATCTTTCGTGCGAGTTAGGTTAGCGAAAGCTGCAGCGAACGTGATCGGTGCAAAACTTCATAATTGCAAAAATAAATACTTAATTTAAAATTTAAAATTTTAAATTTACAGAACTCAATAGAAGTATTGGAGACATAGGGAAAAAAATTAGAGAGCGATCTTTCCACATTTTTACAAAAATTACTAACTATTTGAATCAATACGCAGACATAATTCAAAAAGCTATCTCTGCCTGCTCATCAATCGATGCGTAAGTTATCAATTTGTTATAATTGCATTGAATGGAATTGAAATTTTTCTTCTCTTATTACTAAATTTTCTCCTTATTTGATTTCTCTTCTTTTCGGAAAATCGATTGTTTTTCTTTGTTAACTGGAGTACAGATGTAAAAAATTTTATTTTAATCACGCTATTCATGTACTGTTCATAGGCTTATCATTCTATATGAAGTTGCCTTAAAATTCAATTACGTCAGACCAATTTTAGAAAAAGGTAAAAAAAAGATTTCAATCGTATCTGGACGTCATCCTTTGCAAGAGCGGACCACTAAATTTGTTCCTACTGATATTTTTTTGGATGAAAAGAATAGTTTCATTAATATAATCCAAGGTTCAAATGGTAGTGGAAAAACTACTTTCATTAAGCAACTTGCATTAATAATATTTTTAGCGCATATTGGAAGCTTTGTTCCTGCTGATTCTGCAATACTAGGCACGATATCACATTTATTTATCAAAGCTTATAATTTGAATGGCAGTGAAAGAATAAACTTCTTCCTACAAGACATTCGTCAGGTAATTTTTTGAAATTACTGAATTTTTGTCAGTAACATATTTTTAGTATTTATTTTTACAATTCCTCACTTATATATCACTGATTTCACATAATCTTTTATTTAACTCTGAAGTCTTAAATCGAATTAAGCTTTTAATATAAACAACGTAGTTTAGTCGAAATGAAGTTATTGGAGAGTACATCATACCGCATCATCCATGTGCATTTAATGTTAACATTGAACTCAACGCTCGCTTTCAACACTGAGAGGCGTTTCCCAATATAAAATTATTGTTACTATGCAGCCAAACGGAGTTTCGCGTTTATACAAATAAATTACAAAAATAATTTACCTTTTATTTAAAATCAAAAGAGATATACCAATAATTTTTACTCTGAAATATATTTCAGATTTTCAGAATATTTCATTCAACAGATACAGCTCTAATATTGATCGATGATTTTGGTGACAGTATCACAGAATATGAAAAAATAGCATTGATATCTAATACAGTAAAAGAGATGACTTCAACAGTTGAACCATACCCATACACTTGTATAGTCGTAAATTTTGACGTTACGAAAATAAAACTATCCAATGAAATGAATTATTTTACAGTGAGTATATATTATTTATTTATTATTTCGTAATCGAAGAGCGTACTCGTGCTCCCTTTGGTACCTTTTTTAATTAACATATATCGCAGGTACTCAATTTTCGAACGAAAAATACTCAACCAAACTATCTTAAATTAAGAAGAGGAAACTGTAGAAGTCATTTGGAATTGTCAGATACACTTTGTTTAAAAACTAGCACTATTTTTGTTCACATATCAAACAGAGTGAGAATATAATTAAATTATATAAACTGAATCCGCTATTATTTTTAATAACTTTCTCAACACATTTTTCAGATAAAAAACCATTTGAAATATTGTAGAAACGATCTACAAAAAGTTAATGATCGAAGAAGCAGTTTGTGAGTATGGCGTTTATCAAAGTTACCTATATTATTCTACATATTTTGAAGAGCCTTCTATTAACATTCAAAATAAGGGAAAAATTACACGTGAAAAATATGATATTCAGCATTTTAAAAATTAAAATTTTTCGGTATACTCAATAGAGTCCCAATCTCGCGTTTTTATATTCTCCACGTCAGTTAGCGAACAAGCACAAAAGTAGCATTATCACCCCGAAATCAGCTAGAATATCTCTTCCGCTTTATTTTTCAGCTTAAATCTAAGAGGATTTTAAATGTATTTTATGAAATTTATAATCTTTGATATTTTTGATAGTTTTCTCAAGTATCCCTCTGATTTCTGTCAGAGTTCCGCATCCCTAAATTTCGGGAGTTTTCTCTAAAAATCTATAAAAACCTGAAAAATGAGTAACTTCTGCTATTATATGTTCTGTCAGAGGTGTTTATACTCATATTTATTTATTCTTATGTTACAGATTGCTCAATATAATTCAAGACTTATTTTTCGAAGAAACAATATTACATGCATCGCATATACAGAAAATTCTTGAAGTTGTAATGGACAACAGAAACATCCTTTCTTGATGTCGTAGAGAAATAATTAATTTGAATCAAAAATCACCACGAAAATAACTTCTTATAATGAAAAAAAAGGAAATAAAAAGTTAAAAGAAGAAACTAGTTATTTTAACTGAAAAAGTTTACCCTCAATCCCGCTTGTTTTTAAAAACTGTTTTATGGCATTTTGCTTCCTCATAGTACCAGAACCAGACGTAGTAGGAAAATTTGGGTTATATATTCGGAAACCACATTGAATCACTAACAAATGTCTGTATGCGTGTGTGTGTGTGTGTGTGTGTGTGTGTGTGCGTGTGTGTGTTTTTTTTCTTACTTCATCCCATTTGGACATTCACCAGTAACCGCAGCTAGGCATTGCTTCGGTGTATTTGGTCGTTTCCATACTTCCCCCATCCGTTGCATAGTGGTATGCGACGATTAGGGATTCGGGGACTCACCTTTTTCTTTTTTAATGAACCTCCGTACCCTGCGCGGTGCCATCTGTCGATTGTCACGTCCCACTTCCGGAGCCGTCTACTGTGTGGTCACACGTTGCTGGTATATCTTCCTGAGTTGAGTATTTAGAACTCGCTGTCTAAAAAAAACACTAAATCAGACAGATTGAATACGATTACATCGTTTGCTAAAAAAATCTTTTTAACCTTTATAAAAATTTCCTATAGGATCTCGCAAAATTCCTACAGGAGTCCTATAGGATTCCAGTAGGAATTTCGCGAAAGCATATAGGAAATTTTCATAAGGGAATAAATCTAACAAAAGTAATTAATTTAATCGGCGAAAGATATTTTATAGCACGCTCATTTAAAAATTGTAAATTTCAAGTCGTCTCTATTTTCAAGCTCTTGCACTAAAAAAAGAATTTTACAAAGCATTATATGGCATTGCTATCACTTCATTCAATTCAAGTTATTTTATTACTGAATACATTCACAAAGAATTATATAACGATCTGAAAGTTGCCACATACGAAACCGCTCCTTTTATTACCTATAAAATAGATTTTGCTAATTACGATTTTCAATTGAGCAAAAAATAATCAGCTTACAGCACTGCAAGTGTCAAAATTCAATTCGACCGTCGGTCCAGCTGACAATACGAAGGGTTTCATTGACTTTCTCATAATCATAATTAACATCAGCCGAGCTTTTATCGGATATTTATACCAGTTTACGCAATAGCTGAGTGAAACAAATTATTTTCAGCGGTTTGTTTAATTTTTTAATTGTGAAAGTTGATGTTTACCTCTGAAGGAGAAAGTCATGGCTGGCATTGCTCATGAATTGGCTTGGAATACAAATTGCAATTGTAACAACTAAAGTGCCATAAAATGCACAAAACATTTTTCCAGCTTCCAATAAGTCAGAATTTCCCAGACAAATTACCATCTAAATTAAAGGAAATAAGTTTATCGAGATTGTAAATTGTGTACTTACCGAGATGAAATATTTACCCATGTTGCAGTTAAAACGAGAATGAATCCATTTGTTATCATTACTCCAAGGCCTATGGGATTCATCAGGGAAGTAAACATATCATAAAGCCTAAAACACGCAAGTGATTTAATTTATCGGTTTTTGACATAAAAATTATTATTCATCACTTCACTAGTAAACTTGTTCGTACTGAAAATATTTTAATGTTTTTTATTATAATCTTTTGCAAAAGCTAATTAATTTTCCATATCTAGAACTTTAGGAATTATCAACAGCGATGATTTATTTTTCTCCAATCATACTATAAATCGTTTAAAAAAACTTTTTCGTGTGAAAATAACTTACTTGATGCAATTTCCATGTTGAAGGATTATCACCTTGAGTTTTTTGCAAATCAAGTTGTTTTTAGTTTCATCAGGACCATCGATATTGCGGTCGTATAAATGGTCTATTTCTTCTAAATAATATCTAAATTTTATAAAAATCAAACGGTAATGCAACGTATGAAGCAAACTACTAGAAGCTACTGATAAATAAATAAAAGGTTTTCACGTACCCCAAACATTGCAATTGCCCAATAATAGCGCCTGCGTATATATATTGAAAATAATTCATCATTCCTACAATTGTTCCGTGAATAATAACTATCAAAAACTGAATGATAAAAATGTAATAATAATAATCATTTTCATTAACAAAAATTGCCATCTTTAATGGCAAAACTTTTTCGTATGTATGATTATTAGGAAATAACCAGGACGAAGCGATATGGTTGATTACTGGAGATATGACGTAGCTTACACACGATATAAAGTAGCCAACTATAAAATAACCTATGACATTCATTGAGCTTATTATTATGGACTTTGAAAAAATTTCGTTGTTACCTGCTTGGATAGTACAAAACCAAAAAGCCTTTGTAATTATTCTATAAAGTATATGTTGCCCTGATGGATCACTGTATTTATATAGTTTATATAACATTGACATGCTCATAAACATCTAGAATAAAGTTTGGTAAATGATTTCATGAAACCGGAAAATTAAATATTATCTCGAAGAAAAAACATGTTTACTTTACGATGGTTTATAACTGTACAAAAATAGCTGTACAATAATGAGATGCACAATAAAAGTTGAAGAATGCAATCAATTATACTGTTTCTATTAATATCGGCTTCTTTATATTCCTGCAATACTTTCACGACCTACAATTTATTGTTAAATATAATAAATATTCGTTTATAATACATTTATTGTCTTTATTTGTGAAAAATAAATTCATCTTATCGATAGGTCGATTTTGTTAACCAATTATTCGTTGGGTCTATTTCATTAAAACTATTACTTACCGAACAAATTATCAGCATTGATAAATATAACAAAATAATGTATTTGCCTGTAAATTGCATACGTGATTTTTTGTCTGGCCAAAAAAAAGTAAATTTTGCAGTTAATACAAATAAAGGAAATCGAGAAGCTCCTATGACTTCCATACATTTGCGAGCTTCTTCATATATTTTTGCGATATCCGAACGAACCATTTCGTTGTTGATAACAATGTCAATAGTGAGAGACCAAGTTTTTTTAATACTAACTTATATATGCAGGTGATGAAATTGAAATAACATTGAAAATTATATAAATTTTATGAAAGTTTATTCATAAAATATATAAAAATTCTGTGTTAATATTTTGGAGGTAGTTCTACATCAATTTATAACGAATCTTATGTACAACGTGTATATGGCCGATTCTCTGTGAAATCGAATGGCCAAAAAAATTTTTTTTCTGCAAATATGGAAAACTTGTTTTAATTGATGTAAGATTTGTACCAAAAAATTTTTAGAAAAATTGGGGCCTTCTACGACACTTTTTTAGAGGCCCAAAGTTGGCCATTTTAGCGTTTTTTTGAAATTTATGAAAAATCACAAATATTCAAATAATTCCCGGATCAGGGAAGAATGATTCAAAGGTATAAGTGCCCAACAACTTTTTTGTTGGAAATTGTCCAAATTTTCAGAAAAATAAGTATGCCAAAGTGATTGGAGCCACCTAAAGACGTAATAATGGAAAAACCCTTATAAAAATTTCCTATAGGATCCCGCGAAATTCCTACTGGAATCCTATAGGACTCCTGTAGGAATTTCGCGAAATCCTATAGGAAATTTTTATAAGGGAACATTAAAAAAAAAACATAAAACAATAAATCTACTCGAGTTCGAACCGGACTTTCATTTCCTAAACTATGTAAAAAGCTTTCCAAAGATGTCAACTACTACCTGATAAAGTTTTGTAATGGGTCTTAAAGTTTCACGCAATGTAGACAACAATGTGTGGCGAAAAACGTGCAAAAAAAGGGCTGAAAAATGGCTGTTTTTGGTGATTTTAGGCATTTTAAGCCTATGTTTGACCTTTTTTGCACGTTTTTCGCCACACAATGTTGTCTACATTGCGTTAAACTTTAAGACCCATTGCAAAACTTTATCAGGTAGTAGTTGACATCTTTGGAAAGCTTTTTACATAGTTTAGGAAATGAAAGTCCGGTTCGAACTCGAGTAGATTTATTGTTTTATGTTTTTTTTTTAATGTTCCCTTATGAAAATTTCCTATAGGATTTCGCGAAATTCCTACAGGAGTCCTATAGGATTCCAGTAGGAATTTCGCGGGATCCTATAGGAAATTTTTATAAGGGTTTTTCCATTATTACGTCTTTAGGTGGCTCCAATCACTTTGGCATACTTATTTTTCTGAAAATTTGGACAATTTCCAACAAAAAAGTTGTTGGGCACTTATACCTTTGAATCATTCTTCCCTGATCCGGGAATTATTTGAATATTTGTGATTTTTCATAAATTTCAAAAAAACGCTAAAATGGCCAACTTTGGGCCTCTGAAAAAGTGTCGTAGAAGGCCCCAATTTTTCTAAAAATTTTTTGGTACAAATCTTACATCAATTAAAACAAGTTTTCCATATTTGCAGAAAAAAAATTTTTTGGCCATTCGATTTCACAGAGAATCGGCCATATGTTAAATGTACATAAAAATTTCAAATTGTTTCGACGAAACATTATAATAAATGCACGCGTAATTTACGAGAAATTCGACGAAAATCCACATTTTCAATGTGGAAATGACATTTTAAATTTAAATAAATTTGAGACATTTTAAATTTATTATAATAAATAAAATTACATTACAAAACATCGTTGAATTATTTTTCGGAATTATGAAATGACTTTAATTAGTTTACTTAATAAACACTTGAAAATTAAGGTAGTATTCTGATTGACAACTTTATTTATGGATTTTTTTTGGATGTTCGTGAATGATGCTCTCGTTGCTGCTGCAGTTTTTTAAACGGTGAATGATGTTCTTGCTGTGCTCAGGTTCCAACTTATGACGTTCCCGCAAGATGTAATCATATGTCGATATATTATTACATCCAATTCGAAAATAATCGATAATAATTGTGTTACTTTTTCAATTTTTTGTATTATCTGCTTCGTTAATGACGAGTCTCATTGCTTTCTTCCGTGTGAACATAATGTCAGTCGCAACAACTCCAGTCAATTCATGTCCCAAAATCATGAGCCTTGCCACTGAATTGGAAGGAGATTTTACGGAAAATGTACAACCCAACAAAAGAATCGATCCTGATCATGATTACGATATTTAAAAATTAGCAAGTGACTAAATTCGACTAAACTAAAACGAGTACTCGGTTTTTTACAGCCCTAGTTTGGTCAATTTTGTTGATTTTGACGACTTCAGTAGGCAACTGACAGATGGCGCATCTGAAGAAGGTCGCTCGCGCAATTGCAAAATTATTTTGCAAAGTACTAGTGTGGCTTCTTGTCAAAATAGGCCCAAAATGCCTAAAATCACCAAAATTTTTCGACCTCTTTTGCACGTTTTTCGACACATCATGATGCCTACATTACGTTACACTGTAAGACCCATAACAAATCTTTATCAAGCAGTAGTTGACATCTTTAGAAAGCTTTTTATATATTATTGGAAATGAAAGTCAGTTTCGAACTCGATTAGATTTCTTGTTTTTTTTTTCAAGTTTTTTCCACTTTCTTCTCTTCTAGATAACTCCAATCACTTTGACATACTTTTTTTCTTAAAATTTGGACAGTTTACTACAAAAAAGTTCCTGAGCACTTTTACCTTTGAATCATTCTACCCTGATCCGGGAATTATTTGAATATTTGTGATTTTTCATAAATTTCAAAAAAAACGCTAAAATGGCCAACTTTGGACCTCTGAAAAAGTGTCATAGAAAGCCCCAATTTTTCTAAAAAATTTTTCGGACAAATCTGACATCAAATACAACAAGTTTTTCACATTTGCAGAAAAAAATTTTTTTTGGACATGTTGGTATATATTTGTGTATGTGTTTGTGTGTGTGTGTGTGTGTGTGTGTGTGTGAGTGTGTGTGTTTTTTTCTTACTCCACCCCATTTGGACACTCACCGGTAACCACCACTGAATTAGTCCAGTGACTATGACAATTTTAAATTCATGATTGATAAATTAGAACAGTTGACGGTTTAAAAAGATTAAAAAGACTTCTATTTTACAGAAAATAACTTCAAAATTTATTCAACTCATAAATTGTAAATATTTTTACATCGATCAACAATAATATATTATACAAAATAACTAAAAAATTTAATATAAAAAATATATTCTATATATTCTTTACATTCCATTGTAGGCTGGACCACCATTTTCTGGAACCACCCAATTTATGTTTTGAGTCGGATCTTTGATGTCACAAGTCTTGCAATGGATACAGTTTTGCGCATTTATTTGTAATTGGCGTCCACTGTCATTTTCTGTGGGCACGTACTCATATACACCTGGGAAAAAGTCAATATGTAAATAAATACTTGACGAAATTGAAATGAATAATAGGGTACTTATACCAGTGATTGACCGCTTTCGACCAGTAAATGACCACTTTTGGATATGCAATAATTATCGTTTTTCCTTATTAAATTATGATCAAACATCGAAAACAAGATGCATCGTTCACTAAAGAATTGAATTCCGCCCATACAAATATATTTTTAATTGTTTTTCATATGATATTATCCAAAATGGTCATTCACTGGTACCCGGTCATTGATTGGTCTGACTACCCTAAATTAATAAGATATGAGTTCAAAAAGTAATTCAAGTAATTTTTTAAATCGTTATTAGTTGGTATTCTGACGGCATTTGGTTTCTCAAATTCTGGAAACCAACTGAATGCCTCAAAACGTGAAAGTTTTTTCATTTTTAAGTATAAAAAAGGTAAAATCTTACCAGCTGGACAAAACCTTTGTTCGGGACCATCATAAACAGCAAGGTTAGTGTTAACTGGTACACTATCGTCCAATAGTGTCAAATGTGGTGGTTGATCAGCTTCATGGTTTGTACCAGTAAGAGCGACTGAAGATAACAAATCAAAAGAAATCACATTATCTGGTTTAGGATAGTCGATAGGCTTTGATTCACTTGCTGGTTTCAACTTAGCATGGTCAGGACCTACAATATAAAAATTATACGAAATATTATATTAGTGAAACTCATAAGTTTTTTTGAAATATTTCTATATTACGGAGAAAAGTGTTTAAATTGAAAAAAAATTGGTTGAAGTCCAATTAATTGAAAACCCGTCGCAAGTATATATCAAAATTTCAGAAAGTGCCCATTTTTATATTATTATTACGGTACAAGTACCACAAGTAACAATTCTTATCACATCATAATTTAACTCACTACATTCCGACCATAAATTACATCTTCCCAAAAAGATTGTTCCTTACGGTACTAGTAAAGTACAAAATTCTTGTTTCCCTTGATAAAACACATTTTAATGTGATGAAAGAACGATTTTTCACTTTTACCTAACTCAATTTTATAATAGATTTTATAAATCCGCATTTGTGATTATTTACTCATTTAATTATTAATAATCTTAAATAAATTTTTATACCTCCGTGCGATAGGGTCCATGGTTCTTTTCCTTTCACTAGCATTGAAAATCCTGAATATATTATACCTCCGTACAAACCCAGACTCGTGTGGAAACTTGGTCTTATGTTTCTGACAGCTTTCAAATCCTTATATATCCAACTATCTTTTATCTTGTCAGCATACGAAATTGGTTCAACTCCTTTAGTTTTACTTTCCGCGTTTTTACTTTCGATGATAGATTCGATTACGCTTTCTGCCGCTAACATTCCACTTTTCATTGCGTAATGGGTACCCTTAATTTTGGGTACATTTAGAAATCCTGCAGCACAACCGATAAGACAACCACCTGGGAAGGTAAGCTTTGGCAAAGATTGGAGACCTCCCTCGGTGAGAGCCCTTGCACCGTAAGCAATTCTGCAAGATATAAAAAGATAAGTTAAACTATAATTACTTGAATAATTGTTCATTCTTATGAAAAGGAGCAAGATAACCTGACTATTATAATTATTTAAACGAGCTTTTAAGAAAAGGTCATGACTTTCGGGCAACCGTTTTTATCATTATGGCTGAGCTGCTTTGTATTTTTATTAGGTAGCATTTTATGATAAAAAGAATTGAAGTGAAACTTCTTTTAACATTTAAAAGGAATCTCGTTAATTTACCGCGAGCAAACCCGAAATGCTTGTTTTAAATCGCTAATACAGTTTCACAACACGTTTTACCTAAGCTAAGCTCCCTGAAATAAAGATGCACCATTATTGAATTTTTGAACGCATTCAAGGGCCTGTACTGTACTGAGTTCTTGCACGTAACTCAGTGTTAGGTCTACGGTGTGTCAAGTCATGCTAGTGCTAAGTGAATTTCATCAAAATACCCTATCTAAAAAAGCTTCAAATGATTATCGACTAACCTTTTACCGTTCTGAAGAGTTGATTTTATAGAAGGATGATGTTTGAAACGTTGAAATTCTCGGAAAGGGCTAAGGTATGGATTTGAATAATCTAAACCAACGACGAAACCTATTGCTATGAGTGGCGAATCTTCGTTCAAATGGTACAAAAATGAACCACCATAGGTATTCTTATCTAGAGGCCAACCAATTGTATGTTCAACCGTTCCCGGATGATGATTCGCTGGATCAATTTCCCAGATCTAGAAATTAAAGAGAAATCTAGTAAAGCGTCTCTTGAAAATGCTTATGCACCATTTACACAAACCTCTTTTAATCCGATACCGTATGATTGGTTTTCAGAATTTTGCCTCAAATTAAACCTTTTGACTATCTGTTTTGTTAAGTGACCATGACAGCCCTCGGCAAATATAGTGCACTTGGCATGCAATTCCATCCCTCGCTCAAAACTATCTTTCGGAGAACCATCTTTAGCTACTCCAACGTCACTAGTTGCAATTCCTTTTACAGATCCATCTTCGTGATACAAAATTTCAGAAGCACCATATCCTGGGTATATTTCAACTCCAGCTGCCTCAGCTTGTTTCCCAAGCCAGGATACAACATGTCCAAGTCTAGTAATAATCAAAATCTAATGTAAAAGAAGTCATTAATAACTAAAATTACGCGTGTTTAAAAATGTTTCAACCTGACGACATAATTTCCATGATTGTACAATGGCATACTCTTAAATATTGGTATCGAAAATCTTTTGTTCTCAGTTAAATATCCAAATTTATCAACTGTAACTGGCGTATGTAAAGGAGCTTCAAGTTCTTTCCAATTAGGAAAAAGTTCTTGTAACGCTATGGGATCTATGCAAGCACCACTCAGAATGTGATCCCCAATGGAAGCTGATTTTTCCACAAGAGTTACACGCAAGTTTTCACCGTGCTCTTGAGCAAGTTTTTGAGCTTGAATTGCTGCGCTTAAACCTCCTGGGCCCCCACCAACTATTAATATATCGGTCTCATCAACGTATCTTTCCATATTGATATCTAAAATGAAAAAATTTTCAAATCTAAGTATTAATTTCTATTGCACAGATAACCCGAAAATGACAAACACCCCAGTTGCATACACTATTTTTCATTACAAGTTATACTATTTCAGTAACTGAACTGGTGTCGCCATTCAATATTACAATCAATTTTTTAATATTTATTATTTATTATTAAAGATAACTTCTGTTTAATACGGTTTGAATATATCATATTAATTACTCAATTCATTGCTTAATTTTTTTTTTATCAATATTAAAAATAGAAAAATTATTTGGAAATTATCAAATTTTTAAATTACTCTTCCGCCATCTTGTTTTCTCTCGCTATCGGAACCACCGTTGAGAGCAAAAATTCAAAAGAACGCATTCAAAGACTTTTCATTCTTCATTTGTTAGTAAAGTTACCGAAGCAGCAGTATTATTTTACTCATTAAATTCGACTTGATGTAATTATTTTAATATTAATTACTCTCAGTCGTTTGTTTAGGTATAGGTTATTACATATAAAAATCAAAAATTAATAACAAATTTACTTACCTTTCCACCTCGGATCATTTTCCCGCGGATGAACAGTATAATGAGTTGTGATTTTCGGTTGCACCGCATTTGAGTGCATATTCTTTTTACAAAGTCTCAATATTTTTGCTGAAAAAAGTTTTTCAATTAATTTATTGTTTTTTATTAATCGTATTTTACATATTCACCACATATGTGATACACTCATTTGATATGTTTAACCAACATGTTTAAAATGGAATTATTCTTGTTGAAAATTTTGATTTATAATATAAACATTTTAAACAATAGCTTTTTAGTTAATTTTTAAAGGTATTTGAAAAATTTTTTGATAAATAGACATGATTTTATAATTATTTTTTACAATTCAGAGAAAATGATTAATTTTACATTAATTTTGATTAAAAAAAAACACAGTTTTGCTCTCTTTTTAATTTCTTCATTTTTTCTGTTTTCATGATTTTCATATCCATAATTACAACAATAATATTCAATAAAATATTTAAAACTAGACCTTAACACATCTTTCAATTTGGATGTGATTTTCTAAAACAATAGAGTTTTGACTAATGCTATTGTTTAATTTTGAGTTTTGACTAATGCTATTGTTTTGACTAATGCAATTGTTTAATTTACAGGTTAACAATATGTTTATACACTAGTGAAAACAATGGATCAGTATTGATTTAGCTTAATATTTTTAATAAAAAATATGCCTAAAGTCAGACTGAATATTCAGATAAAATTTAATCATAGTTCAGAAGAAATGGATCTTATAATTGGGAGTCTCACATCAAATCTTTTACGTACAGGTAAAAAACAACAATTATTGGTTCCGTGGTTATTTATATTTCAAAACATTCCATCTTTAATGCTTGATAAATATAAAAATTATTTGCTCATACATCAATCAGATTACTAAGCTTGACCGTATTTTAAATCAGCACATTACAGTGCATATAGTAGCATAATCGTGTATAGAGAGGAGTTTATTATCAACAATTGCGTACTTAAGAATAGAGTGTGATTGTTTTAATTGAAGTTCCTTTAAGAAAAAAAATTAAACATGATTTATATATCATTTAATAAAGTTAAATACAAACTGCAAATACTTTAATATTTTGTCTTCAAGAAAATTAATCCACTTTAGTTAATGTAGATGTAAGTTTGAGTAAAATTTTCAAACCAATTATATCAAACCTATTTCAAACACTTTAAAACCTAATCCTCTACAATTTTATCAAATTATTGTTTTGATATTCAATGGTTAATTTGGAAGTTTTCTTTTGAATTAAAGATTAATCATGAAGTTTATAATTTGATTGTTTGTGGTTGATTCAACTCGTTACAAAAATTTGAAAATGAAAATTGATTTCTCATAGTTTTAAGTAAATTTATACAATTGAAGATAATGTGAGTAATTTTAATGTAACATCAAAAATCAATTAAAAAGCTTCTATCGTCTATCAACTTAATGCAAAATAAAGATACTTTGATCATGAAATGTATAAATAATAATATTTTATTTATGAGAGTTAGATTCCATTGCCATAAAAGATAAGACATATACCATATTATCATTTTCAAGATGAAAAGGTTAGGTGCAAACTTTTATGATTTTATTCAATGATAATAAATGATATTCACTTATAAAATTGTTTTTAAACTCATAAATATTATTTTAAATAGGCCAATTTTATTAATACTCTAGTTATGCGCCAAAGCCTAAACTTTCCTTAGAAAACTAAAATCTTTTTGAGAGTTTCACAATGGATAATATTATAAGCAATGATAGCTTAGTAGATTATGAATGAATTAAAAAAAACTGTTAAAATGAATTGTAAGATAATTATAATTTTTATTAAAAAAATTTGTTTACAGCTTAATATAAGTTTTTAATTCAACAAGTGGTAATACAAAAGCATAATGCCCATATGTTTCTTGCTTTTATCATTTAAGAAACAAATTTTCAGAAGACTTGATGAATACTTAAGCTATTTACCCAAAAATATTGTAAATGATAAAACAAAACATTTTTAATCATAATTAATCATCAATTCATGAATAATCTAACAATTCATTACGTCTTCATACCCATTATTAGTAAATATTCAATACTTTTTACTTTTGAGTAAAAAATATATTTCAGAGTAATTTTATCATGTGACAGATATGTTGATATAATAATTTCATCATATTCTCAAGTGCTTAAATAACTTCTGTCAGTTTAAAGACATTACAATTGTTATAATTTTCATAAAATTTAAAATTAATATAAGTGATTAATTTTACCATTTTTTGCAATTGATGGAATAAATGAGCCAGTCATGATGAATTTGGACATTGGCAAGACAGATTTCTGTTAAAAAATTATTCTGGATAATAGCAAACGCTGAACTCAATTTTTTCGAAAGAACTGACTTATTTTGACGTGAAGTCTTGTGTTGACTGCTACGGAGCAAATAAAATTCGAGTTCCAATTAAAGCAAATAATATTGTGAAACGTTTATAATTCGAAAAAAACAGCTTGAATATTAAGGTCATATTCTGATAAATAAACTGAACGAAACTAACAAGGGACGTCCATGTCAAAAAAATTAAAAGAAATAATTTAAATAATAATCGAATCGGTCAGTCGAATATACAATTCAGATATTCTGCAAATGCCAATTTGTAGGCTTCTAATTTCTGTTTTCGAAAATCTAATGTTAAGATTACAGCTGTTCTGTATATGAACTGCGTTGAAGCGTCCAAGTTGCGCAGATAGCAGAGTGGGAGATCAGTGTAGACAGACTGATTTTTGCACGGTTGATATGGTAGGTTCGATTCTCGATAAACGTGAAAAACATTGAATACGTTAATGCACTCTGATCTTTTTCCCTTTGTTGCAAAGGAGGATGGATTAATGAACGCGAAATTAATATTCGTTATGCAAATTTTAATGTTTATTGTAAAAATATATTTTCTCTAATGCAAGATCGGCGAGTCAGCCGCTTTGGCGAGCCAATGCGCTAGCTTATCCATCTACGTCGTCTTCGATCCCCACTATACCGTCCACTGCTGCATAAACTGTTTTATTGATATCGTGAACAATTTTGCACTGACACTTGAAAAATTTAACGTGCATTTTTAAAGTAAAATTTTACGAGGAATCGATTAATGCAACTTATTTTTCCGTATCTGCGAGATACATTTGCGAGATAAGCGAAAACGTTTTTACCCTAGATTTTCACCTAGACACTGTGGTTAAATGTAAAAATAATTGAAAATTTAAATTTCACGTACTTACAAACACACATCAAACCTGGTTTCATCACTTCCCGATGCAATCTCGTGTAAGTTTACACTGAACTACGCGATCGTGAATGATTAACGTTTTCGCTACGACCTCCACGAGTGAAATTTTCATTGTTGCTCTAATATTGTATTAAAAAAAATTTTAAAATTGTAATCAACTCTTTCATAATGGAAATTTAAAGTTGTGCTTTTACAAGACCGAATTTCACGAGTACTTGGGGTTCTCTATTTTTAGAGCACGGGCCCCATACCCAGTTGAGTGATAGCAGCTGTTGCTGCAACTCGTATCTCTCCGTTTATCAGCGATAGGCGCATGTATTACGTTATGTATCTCTGTTTCCCTCGCGCTGTGCACAACTCCCTATGTAGGTCGCTGGCAGTTGAACGACACACATATACTTTAAGCTCGCGCTTCTTGCATTTCTCACAGCTTTGCGCAATCTGTTCACACTCAATACGGATCATATATTCATACGTATCTATCAAAATCTATATATATCTGTTTATCTATGCGTCGTATTCATATATATTTCGTAAATCGTGCACGCAGTGTCAGTACGCGTTAAAACGTCAAAGTGTGAACAGAGTAAGATCGCATCGATCGCAGCGAGTGAAATAAAAAAATAATAATTTAAATTATATGCAATTGTGCGTGTTTTGTTTGAGTGCAAAGAACGATAGACATGTCATTAAACAAGGACATATCCTATGAAAGTTTTAATGGTGTATGCGGAGGTGGAGGCCAATACGATTCTCGTGTCATGGGTTATTTTGGCAAACGCCTAGAATTAGAAAAATTAAAGAGTTTACCAGAGCAGATCAATTGGGAAATCGAAAGAGAGCGATATCATCTTCTCGAAAAACTTTACCCCTTGATCAACTATTGGCCGGGTCAATTTCCCGATCTTCGAGAAATTTTCCAAGAGGAACAAATCGAGCGTCTTCTCTGGGATTCTGCGAGTTACGAGTGCGGAGATCGGAATTCTTATCGAGGTGAGCGATTTGTCGACTTCGTGATCAACACCGGCTACAAAGACAAACTCCACGTTGGAAAAGAAGGCAAGTCATCGTCACGTCGTAATACACCGGTGCATCGCGCGGCTAGACGCGAACACAGGGCCTACTGCAATCGGCTCGAATGCAACGCCATCGTCTCTAAACTTTTTAAGATTTATGATAGATTCGATGTGAATTACGCCGACGAGTCCGGCCTAACTCACCTTCACGCGGCTTGCATGTCGGGATGTTACGATGTAATCGAGACATTTCTCAAGCTCGGGTATAATATCAATTGCATCGTGACGGATACAGGTGATACGCCGCTGCACTTGGCCGTGAGCCATCAAAAAGAAGGAGTGGCCGAGATGCTGATTAAGAACGGCGCCGACCCGAATCTGACCAATGCCAAAGGATTGACTTCTTTGCACATTGTCTGCAGGGCCGAGCGCGACAATTATAACTTCGCGAAGATGTTACTCGATCTCGGTCACTCGGTATGCAAGCCGGTGCAAGTCGATGTTCAAGACAAGTTCGGTAACACGCCGTTGCACTTAGCCGCGATGAAAAAAAACACGAAGGTGGTTCGATTGCTGCTGACGCACGGCGCGAATCCGAATCTAGCGGACTCGCAGGGGTTCACGCTTTTGCACACCATGAGCTCGCAGCCGATGTTCGATGGACACTTGGTGAAGACGTTGTTCGAGTGCAGCCGCGAAAACCACCGACCTGTGCGGATCGACGCCCGGGACAAGTACGACTTGACACCGCTGCACATGGCTGTGCACTCGGGCAATTTAATGATGACCAACTTCCTGCTGAGAAGCGGTGTCGATGCGAATTCGGTCAACGCGATGGGTAAGACTGCTCTGCACGTAATTTGCGATAAAGCATACGATAACGGATTGGCGAGGGAATTTTTGAAGACCAACGACGACCTCGGGCGGACGGTGCTGATCGACGTCCAAGACAAAGGGGGTAATACACCGTTACACTTGGCTCTGAGCAGGAACCTCAGGGGGCTGGTACAGTTGCTGCTGAAAAGAGGTGCCAATTCGAATTTGGCCAACGACAAGGGATTGACACCCCTTCACTTGATATGCGACCCAAAATTTGATCGCGAATTCGTAAAGTCTTTTTTCGAGATAAACGACTACAATCATCAGCTGGTTCAGATCCACGCGAAGGACAATTTAGGTAGGACACCGCTGCAGTTGGCTGTGAAAAATCTCTTGCCCGATGTGGTCGATTTACTCCTGGATCGTGGCGCTCTGTCGAGCTTCATTTTTCCCTCCGAGAGTCACTTCGACGAGAGATTTCGATCAGCTTATAATATTGAATTGAGAGTAGCGTCTGGTGCCATGGCCGTCGTCGAGCGTCTCGAGAAAAAAGGATACGAATTGGATCAAAGCGAAGCCTTGACGATCATGAAACTTTTCTCCAAACACAGATTGTTCGAAAAGCCGAACAGTCTCGACGAACGTTGGTACGACAACGAGAGGTTCGCGAGCAAATCGAAATGGATGACGATAAAACCGGGTATTTCGCTCTACGACTTGATTCAACTACGGCCGGAGGAGGCGGCCAGACAAATCACGTACACGGACTACTGCAACTTTGAGCGCTCGGAAAAATTTCGCGAGCTTCCAAGTGGGTATGTATGTGCTATGCATCTGTGCGAGAAACTGTTGAGAAGATTTTTCCGGCGATGGGCGGTATATCCTTGCTGGGAGCTGATACACCACCGACTGCCACTCGAGTGCTGTGACATGATCATCGACAACCTTATGAACGAAGATTTGTGGCATATTTGCTTGACTGCTGTTGGCAAAAGCTCGTGATAGTGATTGCCATTTTCGGTGTCTGATGGTGCATTATTGGTGGTGCATATTTTTCATATTATTAAAATGAATAAATTGAATAATGACATTGACATCATTTAATTTTTTGCGTTTAAATAGTTTATATTTTAATTTTACGTTAGTTTTATCAACAATATTGTAAAATACTAGTTTTAAATACATTTAAAAATATTTGTAAAATTTGTAAATAATTGAGTAAATAGAGAATAATGTAAAAATTATTTTTCATCCACAACATTGCATTTTCTCATTAGTTACTGAAAAAAATTTATGAAATCTAAAAAATATGTATTTATGCTGAAGAATAATATCATCTAGATAATAATATCATAGAATAAGTCAATAAATACACCCAAATTTCCTCAGAATTTTTAGGGGTAATTTTTAAATAATTTGAAAAACTAGAAAAATTCAATTTCAATACTAAGATTTTTAATCGATACAGTATTTTTAAATTATTAATTTTTTACCTATTCAATATTATTATAGACCGGGAGGCCGCGATCAAAATTTCTGTTATATCTTATTCACTGAGATACCTTGTAAATTCCATGAACTATATCCAACTGATTTTCAGAAAAATCTTTATTCCTGAAATGTGTAACACAAGTTGAAGAATTTTTTCAAAACGTTTCGAGTAATTTAAAAAATTTTTAATGAATATAATTTTGCAAAATTATGTTGATTATTTGTGAATTCTATACGTGCATTAAAAGTTTCTATAGATTTGTAGAGCAATTTCAAGATATTTTTACCTGTGGTTATTTTTTCCTAAAGTTTATTAGTTATTTTTAAATATTAAATATTTTTTATCTAAATAGCGAAATAACGCAATTTTGCAACTTTGATTGCATGTAAAAAGTAGCTACAAATTCAGCCTTGTGAGCTCAAAATTCGGTTTCAGTGATTCTAAAAATATTGCAAAAAAATTAAAGTTATCGCGAGAGAAACTCGTAACAATGTTTAAATGACACTGTGCATGGATCATTCAATGTCATGTCATCTGTAAGGGCACCTTTGTCCCGCTTGAAAGATGTCAGAAATGGTTTTTCGTCATTTTATTCATTTTAAAACTTGTTTTGGCATGAGTTCAGAATTACGTTTTTTAATAATTATAAATTATGCTCCGTTAGATAATTTCAACAATAGTAGCATGTATGTGTTTTATTTGATTGATATGATTCATAATGTCAATATTTCAGTAAATAAGACAATTCAGTCATTTTGTCGTTGGTTCCCGTTATGTAACGTGGAGCCTGAGCATTATTTTCCTTTACTCTGTGGTATACAATGACATTCCAATGCTCGAAAGAAAAATTTCATCCGATTCTAATTTCCAACTATCACCTTACCTTATAGTACTTTTAGAGTCACCTACCCAGTGATTGAAAGCATACCAGTGAATGAAGGCACTTTTTTAAATAAAAATTATTAATTGATAACGACATTATTTATGAACGACGAATTTTTATGCTATTCTTAGGTATTATTGCTAACTGTTCGAATGGTTATCAGGTCCAAAATCAATATAGTTTAACGATATGAATTAATTTACGAACGCATCGTTCGCTGAGCCGTAAGATACGGTCATTTTGTACATAATCGCTCAAGATGGTTAAAATTTGGAAGATCCACTGTAAAAGAATGAGCAGCTGAAAACCTTTTATGCTGGACTAGTTACCTTTAAAACTGTCATTTACATGTTGAACAATTGCATTTCCAGTGAAAAATTAAGTTTTAATTAGAAAATTTCACTCTTCTTCAACTTTCATTTACTGGTGTATATGTGTAAATGAAAGTACATAAATAACCATATTTTGATTGGAGTTTTGAACCAATCTTCATCTATGAGGTCTTAAGGTGTTTATAAAATGGTTCTTCTCTACACAAATGAAACAGATTTTTAAAAAAGATCCCTGAAAAAACACCAACGCGTGACAACACACACCCAACATGAAATATCGCAACATGACCTTGAAATACTTTAATTATGTTATTTAACACAGATGCCCTTATTTCAATCATAGCAATATGTCAATAAAGAGGTTGGTTTGGACGATAAATTTATGTTATAGTTTCTTATTCAATAAAAAAAGGTGATATATAACACTCTATATTGTTTATCAAATCAACGTATGCTTATATTTGTACATTCATTTACTTTCATTCACTGGTAAAGCACGTTTTTTTTCATTTTCATAAACTTTTATAAATGAAAAACTCAATTGAAAATTCTGTGAAAATTCTAATAGGTAAATGAAGGTATGAACTTTGACAAACTATTGGTTCGATTACCTAAAATTGACTAAAAACATGCATCCGAGCTGCTTGACAGCAGAATTTTTCAAAACCTTTCAACCACTGGTTGAGTGACTCTATAATGAAATTGCTAAAATTCTAAAAATCTGATTCACATAATTTTCAAATAGCTAACAGAATATTGAAAGATTTGTTTTCAACAATTTAAGAGACTTTTTTCATTTATATATACGATTAGATGATCGAAAAGATTTGTCTCAAAATCTAAACTTCAGAAAATAAAACCGCTAAAGGGAGGGGGGGGGGGGGGGGNGGGGGGGGGGGGGGGGTCTTGACTAAATTTCAAAAAAAACTTTTTTTTTTGAACATATAGTAAATCGAATTGATCTATAAATCATATACACAATTAGTAGTTATTTGAAGAATATTAAGTTAAATTTTCAGCCCGAAATACTGAAAAATAAGCTGGCTACAGCAAATTTTCACATGCAACGTAAAAAAAAATCTTGTGGACACCATCACTCAAAATCTACTCGACCGATCAAATTCATATTTTATACACTATTCAAATAGATGATATATGAGGTAATGATGTCGAGATATTTTAACTTTTTGCATTTTTAGATGTTTTTTACGAACAAGTACAATGAATTTTTGCCTTCATTTTGTCAAAAAAGTCATCTTTTTCACTTCAAAATGATGCCAAAAACTCAAAAATCATTTTAAACGAAATATCTCGACGTCATTACCTTATAATTTATGTAGATAAATAGTGAGAAAAATTTGGAAAGAATCGGTCGAGTAGATTTTCAGTTACAGTTTCCACCGCAATCGATCTTTTTTTTTCAGTTTTGCAAGAAAATTTGCTGTAGTTAGCTTATTTTTCACTATTTTCAGCTGAAAATTTAACTGAATGTTCTTCAAATAACCATTTATAATGTATATAATTCATAGATAAATTCATTTTACTATGTGCTCAAAAAAAATTATTAAAATGCAGCTCGAAAACCATCAAACAAGACCCCGTGCGCGGTAAGTATCAACAGTATAACTGACTGCATATATAGCCTCTGCGAGAGCAGTATGCATAATACCAAATGCTCGCACCGAGAGTGAGAGAGATAGAAAGAGAGAACGACTCGAGGGTTGGAACTGCGATAATACGAAGATCTGAGTCACATGGAAATACCGACGCATTCTCTCTCTCTCTCTCTCTCGCTTATAAACCTCCTCCTTCTCGCGGGGTACACTACCGCTGCTAGCCACGCAAGGAGAAATGCCCTCTTAGACGCCTGCACTGTGCTGCGCCGCCGACATCGGCAAGCAGCAGCAGAGAGCGGCAGCGGTAGAAGAGTGGAGGTAGATAGGTAGCCGCAGCTAGCTCTCCGGACGACGATCTCCCCCCCTCCCCACCACCGCCACCACCACCACTTCTACTGCAGCAGCAGCAGAAGCAGACGACGGCGGCTCGACGGCCTCGCTCGGCTATAGGCAGAGCTCGTTCGGCGAGGCCGTGATCTGGGTGTGGTGCGCGACCAACGAGCACGGCCGAGTCGAGCTCGACCCCACCAATGGGCGCCCACCCGGGGGCCACAACCTACCGATTACCCCCTCTCTCTCCGCCAGGCCGAGCCAGGCCGCCGTCGGGAGGGGGAGCTTCGGCGTGTCGACCACCTAGATGGCGCTCCCGTCGTCGTCGTCGGCCGCTGCCGCTGCGCGAATTCAACGCGAATCGCAGCGAGCAGCCAGTGCGAGCGACGCCAAGGCAGCAGCAGAAGAGAGAGAGAGGCCGGCTCTCGATGTTTTTATTTATTACATTTGTGTCTGGGTAGCGCAGTAGAGGGAAATACGCGCACGCACACAGCTTGCTGCGATTCTCTCTCTCTCTCTCTCACTGCCGACTGTACAGACTTGTGTGTATTGTCATTCTCCACGCGCAGAACCAGCGCAGAGCTACAGCGGAGCAGCTTAGGCACTACAGTATCGCACTCCCGCAGCAGCTCGCTCGCTCTCTCGTATAGCTCGTGCTGCCTTCTCGGGCTCTTTCGCGCGCGCGGGTATATATTTTTGCCGTCTGTTCCCACCTTCTGTTTCTGTAATTCTGCAGCAGCAGCAGCAGCAGCGGTGGCAGTGGCAACAGCGGCAACACCTAAAGGGCTGTCAGGGGGAGCTGCTCCGACTGCCTTTGCCTGCTCGTGTGTTTATACCAGAGCGAGTGCGCCAGTTGCCTTGCATGCAGCAGCATAGTAAATGCTCTCATCGTGCGAGCGAGTGCGTTTCTCTTTCTCTCTTTCTCTCTCTTGTTGCTGCGCTGTCGACTGCAGTTTTTATACACACGAACTCTCCCGTAGTGCAATGCAAGTGCATCGTCGAGGCGATGGGACAGATTGCTAATATTTCAGTTCAGTTTCGCGAGTGTTAATCGAAAATAGTGTTGAAGGAATTGTTAACAAATTGTGAATCATCGATCGAGTTGAATGGCTACGCAGACGATGACTTAGACTTAACCTTCTGGTAGCTTAGTAGCGAATATTATTGCATCAGTGCTTATTTTGTTCGACGAGTTCGATAGTTCGACAGTGCGATTGTGACGTTTCGTCTCGAGCCGAGGTTGCATTACATATGTTTTCGTAACGCAAGACGAATGGCGAATCGTGTAAACGCGTAAAATAAAATGCCGTTTCGTTGAAACTGGTGCAGTTTTGTGTGCATGAACTCTTCTAGAATTCGTACATTAAATAAAAAAAAAAAAACAGTGATACCAGGAGAAGTGAAAGATTGGTGAATTATCAGTTCAGGTGTGAATTATTATTATATATATAAAAAAGTGTCGTCGCCAACACGCGTTTGTTAGATAGATCGCGGGCCCACGAGCGCCGCGATTAAAGCCCGCCGCAAGATTCATCCTCTAGCGAAGATCTACCCGTGGTTCAGGGCCCAGCATTCCGAGCGACAGCTTTGGGGCAGCCCCGTAGCCGATCATCACTACAATAATCCGGCTGTCGCGAGCCTGTCGGAGGCCGCCAACGCCAACCTAGCGGCAGCGATCATGGATCACGGCGACAGAATGCACGACAGCTCGTCGGACCACAGCAGCCGAGCCAGTCCCGTCTGCGCGACCAGTCCCAAGCACCCGAGCAGTCCTGGCTCTCAAGGGCAGCAACAGCAACAGCAGCATCAATCGCAGCATCAGCAGTCTCAGCGCGATCAGATGATGCAGCCGAGCATGGCGCACCAGCAGCCCCATCCGCGGGACCAGCTGCCGCCGAGCAGACCGACGCCGGGGTCACCGACGCGGGGCTCGCCGCCCCAGGGTCTGCCGCTGTCGCCGCCGCCACTCTCGGGCTCCGCCGCGGCGCCCACCGGCATGGTACCGAGGATGCCGGGCCTGCCACCACCGGGTCTCGGCCTCCTCGGCCAGCTCGGCGGCATGCTCGGCGCCCATCACGGCTCGCCGCTCGAGCTCATGGCCGCTCACCACGCCGTGATGCCGCCGCGCAACTACAGCAGTCCGCCGCCCATCAGCACGTCCGATCCCACGGCCAACGAGTGCAAGCTCGTGGACTATCGTGGCCAGAAGGTGGCGGCCTTCATCATCGCGGGCGACACGATGCTCTGCCTGCCCCAGGCGTTCGAGCTGTTTCTCAAGCACCTCGTGGGCGGCCTGCACACGGTCTACACCAAGCTTAAGAGGCTCGACATCGTGCCGCTCGTCTGCAACGTCGAGCAGGTGCGCATCTTGCGCGGCCTCGGTGCCATACAGCCGGGCGTCAACAGATGCAAGCTACTCAGCTGCAAGGACTTCGACGTGCTCTACAGGGATTGCACGACCGCCAGGTAAGGATCTAATGTTGAAGGACGGACGGACGGGCGGACTGCCGATCCCGCGATCGGTCGCGCGAGAGAAAACTTCTCTGCATACTACTACACGGGCGTGTACCAGGGCAGTTGGCAGTGCATAATGAGAAACAATCATTCGTATCTGATGAATGTTTAGTAAAGCGTTAGAACAAAAAAAAAAATACACGATAACCCAGATCGATCGCGCGGGCGAGCGAATTTCACCGTCGTTTTCTCTTTCTCCATCCATTGAATAGAGGCAGAGCTCTTTTTGCGAGCCAACCAGCACCGACATCGGTATATAAAAATTGATAGCGTTCCTTCGACAACAACAACAACAACAAAAAGTCCTTTGAACAAACTCACGATTCTATTATGATCGATCCGCACGATTGCAATTACATCTCGCCCAGAAATCAGCAAGTAGTAGTTTTATACAACAGACAGGGCTTACACAAGTCGTACACGATATCGACGCGCTCGTTCGCTCGATTATCGCTGGCTAAAAATCGAGATACAATTTCTCGACTTTCATTGACACGTTTCATTGTTTTCGAACGGTCGGCCGCGACTATGGGGTGGGTGTGTTAATAATCGCGAGAGTCTGACTTTTATTCCTCCGAAATATATAATCGTTGTCGCGCGCTGTCACCGCCGCGTTTTCAGCGACGAGCGAGAAGAAAAGCAGCCAGAAAAACGATCTCGTTCGCGGAAAAACCTGTGTAACAACGACTCGTCAAAAAAGTTCAAATAAGAGCTACACGGGTGCGTGGGAAAGATGTGTATCGATTGTATATGCCACATACTAGCCAAGAAGGAAAGAACTTATATGCTAATCGGCGCGGATGGAAATTGCATATACGTCACTGCGAACGGTGCATTTGACGACTCTATGTTTAAGTATATTGCTCATATATTCGAGCTATACGCATAGCACAGCGTTTATAATGCACACACATACACACACACGAGTAAACGGAAGCAAAGTCCAGAAGTCTCTCTCTCTCTCTCGCGAGCATTTCGCGCATACATTAATAACGCAACGTGTCGCCCTGGGCAGCATTTCGTCTTCTGTATACGCATCCTCTCTGCTTGCATCGCTATGCTTACTCACTCGCACATATCTTTCCCTTGTGCTGCTGCTGCGCGTTAAATGCTAATACTTTTTTCAATCACTGCGGTGCGCGGCACATTCTCTCTCTCTCTCTCTCTCTCTCTCTCTCTCTCTCTCCTACATCTACATGTGGACACAAATTTTTTGCGCTGCGCTGCTCGTTCGCGTCCGCTGACGTTTGACACGCGCATTTAACCGAGCGTCAGAGAAGCATCTTGACTCTGCTGCTGTTGCTGCTACTGCTACGATGATCGTGTGCTCGTCGCGTGCTGCTGCCGCCGCCGCCGCGATATCTCGCGAGAAAAAAAAGCAAATCCAATTTGCAGTCGATCTCGTATAACAAATCTATTTTGCGCTTCAACGGCGCGATCGATCGTTCGATTTTTTCGCCGAATCGATCGTTCGATTTCATTGCGGGGATACAACGTCGGATACGGCAGTGGTAAAGCACGTGTTTCTGCAATCGTAGAAAAGCTTCCGCCTTCTCTATATACGGACACGCGTGTATGGTGCGGTTGTAATACGTATAAATGTAAATGCTCTCTTCGCACGAGTTGAGCGAATATAAGCAAGAGTGAGAGAAACGACGACGACGGCTTTCGGTACAACAGGTGTCCCTTTCACGAGCGTTTCTCTGAATGGAATCGCGCGCGTTTCTCTCTATTTGAACGTTTAGCCCCTGTGCGCCCGGCTGTATAGCACCAGCCAGAGTACGATTCACCCCCAGTAGAAATGAAATGGTATCTATATATAATCACACACAAACGCGCGTCGACGCGTCGCTTGCAGCTCGCACGGCTCTCTCTCTCTCTCTCTCTCTCTGCTCAGCAGTAGTGCTATGGTAGTATTAAGCAAAAGGGGATTTCGGCTCCTTTTACACGAAAATCGCAGTCACCGACGGCAGTGACGTCGACTATATATAATAATACGTTGTGCGTAGGAGTATAGGAGCCAAAAGTAGCAGTAGTGCTTTTCCACTTTTTCAATTTGAGCTTTGTGAATTCAATTTTGTCGTTTGGTGGTTGTGGCGTTTTTTGAAAAGAAATAATCTTGCTGAATGCTTAGTTGCGTTAGAGATTAATAAGGGTTGAAAATCTTATCGATATTTAAGAGAAAGAAGCTCAGTATAGACATAAGTAGAATAATTCGAGGTTATCAATAGGTATGTTGTCTTCAAAATTACTCCTGTCATTTTGACATCTGCAAAAACCAGTGAACAAAGTCGGTAAAAATGTTGCTTCGCATTCTCGCCGCAGCTCGAGATACGATTTTTCAGTCTTTGTGCAGAATAATAACGAAACACGAAACTCTGCCGTTTACCGACTACGTACAAGCGAGGGCAGAGCAGCTTACCGTCGGCTCGTGGCGCGCGCATATACTGCAGACGCTGCGTCGCTGCTTCCGAGAGACCTTGAAGGGAAATTCCGCAGGCCAAGCAGGGCACTCGATCCGTGTTCTCTTCTCTCTCTCTCTCTCGATCCGATCGTCCATGCGTTTTTACTTTTTTAAAGAACTGCAGGCTGACGAACGCCAATAACTGTACGGAATACCGTATGAAAATACGATTCCTCCGATTTCTTAGAACTTCTTGGAGAAGAAAATATTATTTCAATGGTTTTGATAAATTTTCGCGTCACGTCTAACGAATTGTCCAGTGAATTTGTCATAGTATATTACCTTTATATTAATCAAAAAATGCTCAAGGCAGATTCACACTCAGAAAGTTGTAATTCAATCTGCAAAAGTCAAACTAAAAAAAGTGTAAAATCTTTCTAATCGTTACAATAGCAATGGAATGACAGCTCACCATGCAGTCCAATGATAATCCAAGTTTTTCGGCTCATTCTCACTGCAAAATAATAAAAGCTCAAAAATTATCACATCTAGCGTAGTCGAATAAAGCGGATTTAAAATCTTCGACTTCGGGCGCGAGAATCTCTCCACTTATTTCCACCAGTGCGCCGTGTTCTACCACCTATTCGCGCCACCCAATAATGCTACTTTTCTTAATAAGGGTTGCATACATGCAACGCCGCCGCCGCCGCCGCCTACGTATAAGTACGTTATACTGCAAGAACAGCATGCATGCGAGGCATAGATCAAGAAGGGGTTATATAGTAGTAGAGCTCGTGTGTGCCTGGAGTGGGAGTGATATCAGGGGTCGTGTTTCCGCGCCAGGCGATAATTACCGGTAGTCGAGGAGAGGAGCCTATGAATTCATACCTTACTTATTTGTATTGATCGCACTCGTATATGCGCGAGTAATAATGAAGAAAAAAAAAGCTCGCAATAAGATAATGAAGAGCTGGTGTTTTTTGGTGACGTTGCTAATATCGGTGTTTCGTGCGCGGTTGTAAATGCCATTATATTTTGGATGTATTTTGCCAATGTAGTTTGGAGCAGAATCGGGGATACTTTCAATTTTGACGTTTCGTGCGCCGTGGCCATTTTGCACTTGCCGAGCGACCGGGGCAGGGGCAGCAAGTGCGAATTATCGTCTGGTATAGCAGACGTGGCTCGCGGCCAAATTTACAACTGTGATTCGGAATGAGATGTTTTCGCGGTCACACGACTGTTAACTCGATTCCAATTTACAATTGGCAAATCATTAAATAATACACACGATAAAAGGCCGAAGCATTCCAAAACTGTTTTTGTTTTTTTTTTTTTTTTTGGCATATCGTATGCCAACAGTTCTCAGAAATATCCGAATCGCCGAGCTCGACAATTGTACATCGAACGAGAGTGTAGTATGTGTCTCTTCGAATCAATATTCAACCACGCATTGCGCGATGTGAAATTCCACTCGATTCGTATGCGCATTCACTCTTCGCGTATATACTTTGAAAAGCTTTCATGTAAATCATAAGTTGCGAGTATACAACACACACACTGTGTACGTCCATCGCAGTAATGGCTGCTTGTACTGTGATTCGAAGCGCGACTGACCGCATCGGTTGTACTGCAAATCCGAACTGTTTCCTTCTCATCGAACACCTTACTTATTGGATTCTATTTTTATTCTATTTACTTTTGTTTATTAATACTGAATTTACAAATAAAAAACTATATGCTTGAATCAGAGATGCATTGCTATTCACTTCGTTGAGTCGCGATGCCAACATTTGTCGCAACAAAAGAATTGAGTTTTATTACTCTACAACATTGGAATAGTTTTTGTTTTAATAATGTATCATTTATTATTCTGTTGAGATAATGTATAATCATGAAATTGTGAGACGTGACTTATTATAAGCAATCCTGCATAAAGGAAAAAGAATGCTTTGTAAGCACACAATGTGCAACTTTACAATGCATTAAAAACAAACTAAGATACTAAAAAATTGTGAATAATAAAAAAACTACACATACCACTAAGATGGATTAAAAATTAGACAGGCGTGGAAAATTTTTCTTTCTCGACACAGAAAGTTGCCTTTTCAGCTTATTTATTGATTTTCTATCGAAAGAAAGTTTACTTTGATAAAAACTAATCATAACATTCGAAAGTTGAGGAAAAAATCGAAACAGTGAACTAGTTAATTTTTGTACGGTTCGAAATACATTCTCGCATGTGCTCTTTATCCATTGACCAGTTAAAAAATATACATTGTCTCTCTTTTTTTTACTACAAATCGGTAAAAAATCTAAATTTTTTCTTTTTTTTGTTTAAAGTTTATAGTTTTTTTTTAATTCAAAATTTCAATTTCAAAGCGCTGTCTTGTTGTTTATATAGTTTTATCATCAAGTTCAAATACTTACAAATCACGGATTTATTTATTGATGGCAAAAGCTTCAGTTTTCAAAGTTATATTAGAGTATTGTAATCAACGCAGTTATTTTGATGTGGTTTGCTATGGTCAAAGAAATTGAGAAAAGTATT